CTACTGCTACTGCTACTGCTACTGCTACTGCTACTGCTACTGCTACTGCTACTGCTACTGTTGTTGTTGTTGGTGGTGGTGGTGCTGCTGCTGCGCTGCTGCTACTGCTTCTGCTACTGCTACTGCTACTGCTACTGCTACTGCTACTGCTACTGTTGTTGTTGGTGCTGCTGCTGCTGCTACTGCTTCTGCTACTGCTACTGCTACTGTTGTTGTTGTTGGTGCTGCTGCTGCTACTACTGCTACTGCTACTGCTACTGCTACTGTTGTTGTTGTTGGTGCTGCTGCTGCTACTACTGCTACTACTACTCCTCCTGATATTACTGCTATTACTACTACTACTGCTGCTGCTGCTGCTAATACGCTCATAATTTCTAACTTTATACCTGAATTGTAGTTGTTTTATCAGGGGTGATTCGGATGATATCCTTTAGTCTATCGATGAAGTAAATGAAGCCATCGTTATCGTACTGCACGAGGTCTCCCGTGTGCAGCCAACCATCGCTGTCAATGGTGCGTGCCGTCGCCTCAGGGTTGTTGATGTAGCCGCGCATTATATACGCACTACGAACGCACAGTTCTCCTACTACGCCAGGGGGCAGCAGCCTCTTAGTAATGGCATCCACAACCTACGTAAACGCGATGACCATAATTTTATAATTAAAATGTTTTAAATGCATTACGTTTTATTCTATTGTCGTATTGTTTTGTCGCATGATATATAATCCGCATTACCTATAGGTAATTACTAACGCAATCAATCAACCCCCCGAGTATTTGTACAAAATGCAACGATATCAGTATCATACCTGTAAATTGACACAGTTAAGGTGTGACTCACACAATCTTGACCTCATGTCTACGCGATATGGCAAGACTATGAATTGGTTTGGTTGACTAGTGACAATGACTACTATAACTATTTCGCACATTATGTCCATAACACCATGAGCTAATAATATATACCTCTTGATTATTAGCTCTTGCTATCACGTAGGGGCCTACAACGGCAGGCGTCACTGTTGATTACCTTAGCTTGTGATTTTGCGACAGGTTTTCCTATAAGAACTCCTCGTTTGTTACTAGATTGTTCGGTTTCTGACGTGGTGTTTATAAGAAATCCGATTTCACTCATTCCATAGAGACCTAAGGTAACGAGACCAATCTGTCATACAATGCTAAGCACTACGTCTTCTGAACACGACAATACCAATATTTTTATGCATAAATATCTTATCAAATTTGTTTTAATTGTCAATATATTTTGGTAATTTTCGAAGCTACTATTTGTTTATCGAAGACTTACCAGTAATAACTAGGTGCGGATGCGTAATTCTAGCTTCTCTGATAACTGCGGGACTGCAGGTACTGCCAGTTGCGTCACAGCGTTGTAATGTTGGCAGCTCGTAACCTTTCTTTACTAGACTGACGATCAGTGGAGGGATGCCGCATATATGGGTGACCTATATTTAAACATAGTGAAATCATTTTCGGGAAAATCGTGAACAAGCGGGAATATTATTGTTACACATTATAAACACGCACGCACTCACGCATGCACACACGCAATCACCAACGCTCGCACAAATACATACATTATACATAGACACACGCGCACACATACACGCGCGCGCACACAAGCACACACAAACACG